AGACAATGTACAAGAAGATCCCGATGTTGAGGACTTAGATGACGAAGAAGAAGAGACTGATAGTGATGACAATGATGCATATTACTCTCCTAGAGAGAAAGAAGAAGAAACATGGAAGGAGCTCCTTAAGGTAAACTATGTGAGTTTCATTGTCAATAAGATATTTCATTCAGTTTTAGTTATCAGAATTATCATTTCTTGCATAGCTAACATGCCATTTATTGTTTAGGATCTATGTGTTTCTCTGATTTCCTTCACTCTTTTGTTTTAAATTCAGCCCGAATTCGTTCAGTCTAAAACTGGTGCTTCTGCAATGTCGCCAAAGATTGAGAAGTCTACACAAATCAGAGCTTCAATGGTTCTGCAGGCACATGTTTTCGCATATTCAGAGGACACTGTATGTATTGAATTGTTCTCAAACGATCTTCTCCCTCCTAATATCTTTGCAAGTTATAGTTGTCTAAATTATAGTAATAATCTTGTAACAGGGTCCAAAATCAGGTGACAAGATTGGAATTACTAATCCAACAACTTCCCTGGATCTGCAGCATATATCAGGCAGCACTGGAAAGGGAAAGTATTATTATATGCATGACGATCTAAGTCTATATTGCAAATGGTGTGTTGTTGTTGGCTGATCATTATGCTCCTTTAAAATGTATGTGAACCTTAGCATGTTACGTATTAATTTACAAGTGGAAATTCTGCATTTCCAAGCCCTCATGAGAACTGTTGAGTGCCTTTTCTTGGCGATGAATAGTGAGCAGCACACTGCTTGGATATGGTATTGTGAATTTTCAAAAATCATGGTTTACAAAGATTTATGGGTTGCATTGGTTCATGTGGTCAGGTGGTGGTGAAGATGAGACAGGGTCGGGACTTGTCAGAGACTGCTTTCGTACAGGTTACGCAAATAAAAGTCTGACCTGTTTTTATTTCTCTTTATGCCTCATAAGCTCAACACTTAACCACTATGTGTAAACAGGGCTGTGTTGCATCAATCTTGTTGGATGACAGTGCTACCGTATCAAGTGAGAAGAGTGCAGTACCAAACAAGAACTCTGTAATAGACGAGATCAAATCCAAACTGGAGGAGGTTTGCCCTCAGACTCTATGACTGCGAGTAGAAAGCCTATCCCATACTCTATTTTTTGCTTTATGGTTTTAGACATAAAGTCAAATCATCTAATTTCATCAAATGCATTTGCTCCATTTTCAAATGCAGGAAAGTATCAAACTCTGGGCTGCTGAGATCAGCGCGAGCAGAAGCCTTGCCTTACATTTCCCTTTGACACAGAGACTGATAGACAAAGCATATAACTAATATGTATTTTACTCGACCGACACAATTTTCCCCACCAAGTTTATTATGCATTTTCATAGTGTATTATGAACAAGAGTTTAAAGTTGGAGAGATATCATGTCTTGTTTCTTTCTCTTTTCTCTACCTTGCTGTTTGATTTGCCTAAGATATGGTATTTCCCAAGCTATAAACACCACATTAATCCCAACATTGTCTGGTAGACAAAGTCAAATTTCATTACAAGACTGTAAAATCCATCCACAAGGTTACAAACCATATTTAAACATGA